CACATGTCCCATTTTGACAGCTGTCAATTGACCTTAATTTGGCCTGCCAATGTACCTTTAAACGACTCTCAGCCAACTGACAGCCTTGCCCGGCGTAGTTTCGTTTTTATGTTGAATTGGTAAGTGTGACATATTATATCAGCTTATATATAGGGGCAAAACGACTGGTTTTTTATCTGAGCCCGCGAGACGGTCATGTGATAATTGTCAGCGGATGTCTGATTTTGACAGCTGTCAATCTAATCGTACTCATACGGATGGCTTACATAACTAAGAGGCTAGTCAAGTTGTGCAAGATCTATTGTGACATTTGACATCGGCTTACATGAAGTGTGTGTACGGACGGGCGTACGCTACGTCATAACCAAATTTTCTGGGATGGATAGTTTACCAAATTTTCTTACCCATGGTGCTCCGCTGCGCGCGCGCTTCGCGCGCGCGGGAGCTCCGCTATAATCTACGTATGTATGGTCATGCTCCTTTGCTGATGGGTGTCTACAATGACTATTCAGGCTATTACAAGGTCAGACGAAGAATATATGTTAGCGAACCTTTTGATAAGCTAAATTTATCTGGTAAAAATATAAAAAAATGGGCCTGGCAAGGTATGGAGACTTAACGTGCTTGGAGTAATGCTTAGAAATATGACGTGAAACCACAGGTGACCCAAGCGTAATATGGGCCACCTGTGGCATAATATGAGAGTTTGTATGGGAAAAAATAGAGTTTCAAACTTAGATGAAATAAATGAAGTAAAAGCGATAAAAGTTATCAATAAAGTGTAAATATTGTTACCTGGAGTCGTTGTCTTTGTTTTTACCAAGTTTCAGTGCGATTTGAGTACTTTTACATCATCTGACCTGACAGTGTGTAAAAGTACTCAAATCGCGCTGAAACTTGGTAAAAACAAAGACAACGACTCCAGGTAACAATATTCACACTTTATTGATAACTTTTATCGCTTTTACTTCATTTATTTCATCTAAGTTTCAAACTCTATTTTTCCCATATAAACTCTCATATTATGCCACAGGTGGCCCATATTACGCTTGGGCCACCTGTGGTGAAACTGAATATAAATCAAAGAAAAATGTAGGCATCTGGTAAAAAGATCCTTATATCTACGTCAGAACATCATCATTTGTGTTCTATGGTGGTTACCAGGTTTTCAAAGAATAAAATCACCTTTGTTTTGCTAAATCATGTGTTTTTTGTGCTAATCAGAGGCTCCTTTTAGATCAATTTAAAGGTAAGAAACGGTGTATTTCTAAACACCGAAGCTGATTTGGCTTTGAGAATTCATTTTCACTTACCAAATACACAATAAGGGCTTCTTGTCAACAATTTGGTTTGTTTATGACCTGAATTATGCTCAAAATTCCATTTTGCATCACCTTAGAGCGGCGTGAAGTGTTTGTTTCAAAAATTCAGTAAACCATAATAAGCCAAATTTTTCTCAACTGATTTTGATAATTGGGTGACTAAAGTAAACAGTGGTATAGGTATGGAAGTTATGTAAGAAGGCAGGTGAATATCGTGAAATTTTGAAAAATGGCTATTTTGGGTTGTAATTTTAACATCAATTTTGACCAAACTCTAGCCTTAGGCTCCTCTCTGTGCAATACCTTGAGGACAAAGTTACATGTACGAACTGAAAGCTCTATTATAGTAGAGTTCATGGTCAAATTCATTTGGCAGCACAAGTTACCAGTGGGGTCTTATCACACTTTCAAAGTGCCCCCTCGAAGGCTGGATTTTTGGTTCTCAAAGGGCAAAAAATGAGACCCCCCTGTAACTCCAAAACTATAAGTCAGAGAAGTGAGCCAAAGTGGCCTTTGAAATATCTCATCACACCCAACTTCTGTGCCAAGTTTCAGCCAAATCGGTTGTCCACAACTTTTGGCCCCTGGAACACTTCCTCAGACAATGACACTTAAACTATTCGAGTTTCAAACAGAAAAAGGAAAGGAAAATATAAAAATCAACGTGAACTTGAAATAGCGACCCGTAGTTAGTAAATGTATAGTATGTGGGACGGAACGGATCTCCGAACGCTCGAGGCTTGTTTACTGCAAAGATCATCAACAGTTAAGTGAAACTGCACGTGAAATCTGACGTCCTAAAGGTGACTTGTTGAGAGATGCTTAATAAGGAGGCGGTAGGCGACTCGTGGAGTAAATGTATCAGGCGTTCTTTTTTTTCCCCTTTTCCCGAAAAAAAAAAAACAAAACAAAACAACGCGTGATTGCAGGTTAATAACACCCTTAAAGCGTTCATGTAGTTTAAACCAAATGCATAGGCAAACCCTTACAACAGGGAAAAGACGAATGTCCTCTTAGAAATGCTTAAGGTCTCGGTAAAGGAAAACGAGGTGCCCACAGAAAAAAATTCTAGTCGCGCGAGTATTTTCGCTACAAACGCAAGTTATATATCAAATTAAAAGTAAAAGACTAAATTGCCTTATAAAAGATTTTATTTCATCGAATTTCAAAAGGCACTTAAGCTTTTTGCTCTCGAACTCAGAGGTATCGAGTTTACTGCTGAAGCTCCAGCCCTTTCGCGTTGTTAAATATTCACTTCCTTTTTATTGCATCTGATTGACAGATAAAAGACCTAAAAAGGGTGTGAGGAATTTTCCGATTTCCCTTTGTAACTGATTTTATGTCAGTTTCTTGCGTAAATCGCGCTCGAGATTCGACTTTTAAGTTTGAAATGCAATAATTCCGCTAATACGAGACATATGCAAATTTCCTCACACCCTTTTTTCGGTCTTTTATCTGTCAATCAGATGCAATAAAAAGGAAGTGAATATTTAACAACGCGAAAGGGCTGGAGCTTCAGCAGTAAACTCGATACCTCTGAGTTCGAGAGCAAAAAACTTAAGCGCCTTTTGAAATTCGATGAAATAAAATCTTTTATAAGGTAATTTAGTCTTTTAGCTTTAATTTGATACATAACTTGCCTTTGTAGCGAAAATACTCGCGCGACTGGAATCTTTTTCTGTGGGCACCTCGTTTTCCTTTACCGAGACCTTAAGTAACGGGTACTGGTACAGGCCATGGCCAACCTCATCACGAACTTGCACCAGCAAACCACCCAGCCTCGGCAACCACATACATGTAAATTCAATTTCGGACTAGAAATAATTTGCCTCGATTTTCGGATAGGCTAGATGACGCTATCCCTATCACTCGACAGCTGAAACTAGAGAACACTAATGGATATAAGATATCGCAAGCCCCTGTGGTAGTTGCTTAAGCCATTTTAACCTCATTTAAATAACCAATAATAATAATAATAATTTACATTTATATAGAGCAAACGTCTATATGAATAATTTCGGTTGCACTTTACAATATTGTCATTTTAAATTTATGTTAAGGGTGACTAAAGCATAAGAAACTATTAAAAACTACCAAGCTGCACACAATAAAGCCAACAATTAAACAAGATCTGTTTAACGAACGACAGTCTTAAAAGTGTCCAATGTCTTTATGTTGTGAATTACCGAAGGTAATGCATTCCAGAGATAAGGTGCAGCTCACTGGAATGCACGATCGCGCAAGATTAATGCCAGGTAACTTGAGGAATATAGACTCATTTGACCTTAGAGAGTACCTGGATTGCTTTTTGATAGTAATTAAATCAATTAAATAATTAGGAGTTTGACCATATAAGCTCTTAAAAGTCAAACGGTAGAACCTTAAACTTGAAAATTAGGTAGAAGCAAAAAAGATTGTATCATTTACTGTAGCATAACAAGGTAGAAACGTTCGTCGTTGTTGATTATGAAAAAATCTGGGACTTAAAGTACGAGAAACAACTACAGGATGGTATTAAGGGAACAATTTGCATCACGAGACATAGATATTTGGCACTCTCAGAAAATGTAAGGCTCAGCTAGACTCTAAGCAAGGGGCTTTCTTGGGATCACAAAATAAATATTAAAAAAATAAGTATAGTAGTGGCCTCGAGCTGGGATTTGCGCTTCAAAAAGTGACGTGACAAGTATTTCCATCCACACTGCAACACTCTAGGGTGACTAGCTATACACTGCTGTGTATGTTGAATTAAGAATATTTCGCACTTAGTCTCTAATTTAAAATTCCCTCCAACCTACTTCGCGTTTGCGTTTTGGCGTAACATGGAGCTCTGCGGGGATTGTAACAACTAGCTTGTTTCAGCCATTTTCTTGGCCCGTTTCGTGCTCGAAAAGAATTCTGTCATACCGTGAGCGCAGAACAGTTCCTTTTCCCATTTCATTTCGTTTTATTTGTTGTCATAAACTTTTCTAATGATGATGAGTGAATTTTCTTAGGAAAAAAATATGTTAGTCACTCTTAGGGCTGAAAGGGGGGGGGAGCGGGGGGGGTTAAAGTCATTAGAGGGAGTACCTTAGAGTTCAAACATGAAGAAGTCAAAAGACAGGCCTTGTTTATTTAGCAGTGCATTTATTCGTGATTATCGTTGCTGTAAAGAAAAGATTCACAAATTGCTTTCATGTGACAAACTCTATGTGGATTGAAAAAAGGTTGCAATAATGTGATGGCGGAAATCCGACCAAAGTTTTACTCGCTACCGCATGATACGTTTTTTGTAGGCTGCAACATCTCGCTCAAACTGGATCTTTTCTTCAAAGGAAAGGGACCTAAAACATGATTAAAAAGAGAAAAAGTAAGAAATAGTTAACGTCATCATTATTTTCACCAGCTTTATCAGTTTATTCTTGCTGAGAGCTCTGAAAATTATCCTTAAGGATGTATTATAAGACTTTGTTGAACAGTGATTAAGCACTTTTTTTTAGCAATCATGGATGCGTACGTAGGAACAGGAAAGCCACGGTTAATTACCTCATGAATAACAGTTGTTTTTAAACTATAGTCAGATTTTCTGTCGGTTGGTTCGTTGAAGTTGGTGGACAAGAGGAAGGAGAACAAAAAGAAAAAAGTAAGAACAAAACAAAAACAGAAAACTGCAAAAGAAGAATTATTATCCCCTGCTCACCTCTTAACCTTCTCCCTCAATCCTTCAAGGGCTTCAGCAGTCTTGGTCCAACTTTCTACCGTGTCTCCCACTTGTTTCTTCCAGTAGGTTTTTATGGCCTGCACATGGTCCTCGGCGTATCCCTCGAAATACTCTTTCTTGGCAATTTTACAGACGTCGCTGTTGGTGCCATAGTAAACTCCAACACAGAAATTTTTTAAGCTTTTCGCGGGATCTTTGGTGTCTGATGAACTGATTTTGTTCGGTCCAATGGCTAAAGTGCAGATACACATTCGGACGTTATGGTAAGGGATAAGCGCACAGTCGGCTTTTCCGCTGTCTGTCGATACGTGAGGTTCCGCGTGAAGTTTAGCGATTTTGACCAAAGAAGTTGTGTAATGCTCTTCGAGTTGCTTCACTTTTGTGATCAGGGTGTCAGCCATTGCTGCCGCTTGAGTTTCCTTTCCTCTCGTCATTGCAACAGCGATCTGTTCCATGACTGTGTCTACAAAGAGTTCTCCATACATACGGAACAGAGGGAGAGAAAACTCGTAGGAACTGAGTCGGCTGTCTGATGGCATGAAGAAGTGGTACTGTTGGGTCAACATAGCGTTTACATTCTCCAAACAAGGGGCAATATCATCTGCATCACCTTGGTACGTTTTCTGGCAGTGCATTGCATAGCTCAGAATTCCACCACGGCTTGTCCCAAAAGCCTTCTTGATGTAGTCTAATTTCACTTCATCAATTTCTTGGTCCACGTACGATTTGAGCTGGTCGATTTCTTTCTTCAAACTGTTGTAAACGTCTTCTGCTTGTAAGCCCTTATTGCCGAAAGCCCCAGCCAGTTCTTTGAAGACCGCGCCCAGTATGCTCCCTGCAACTGGAATTTTTGCTATAACACCACTAGCCACGGCTATTGCAAGCCCCTTTACGTGCTTGGCAGCATTGGAGGTCTTTTCTGCCAGTTTAGTTGGTTTTATCTGTATTACCTCTTTTATAGGACCAGCATATTCTACGTTGTGGCATACAAATTCATCACCATTTACTCGGATGAGTGGAGTCACACCACATGCAGTAAGGATGAGAATCCACAGCATGGTTTTATTCAGTGTCATTCTGTGGATTTTAAGAAGCAAGTGTTTAGGTATGGATATATCCATTCCACCAAACTTTACTAAAACAACTTACTATAGTTTAAGGTAGGTATACATGTAATAAACGATGAATGGCCCGTTACAAAATTAAGGTTGACGTACTCTTATTTAAAGTGTTTGAAATAACTACCCTTTTAATATTGGTTAGACAGGCCGATACTGATTAGGAAGTTAATGTGACGTAAGTTATAGGTTAACGCGTTGAAAAAACTTAACAACAGGTACCTATCCTTCGTAGCATTTAAAATAAATTAGAACAAATGCTTTTAATAATAGCGGCTGTTTGCATCTAATATCTTGTCACCGTGACTTTTTGCGTTAGGGTTTAACTTGTGATAGGCAGCAATATTTAAGGCATTTAATATGGAATGCCCAAAACAATTTATCCCAGCAGTCTAAGCAAGTTGACCAAACGAAGTGGTGGGTAAAATAATGATTTACACTCAAAGTCGGTTGCAGTTATCAATGCATCTTAACATTAATCATCATCACCATCGTTGTCGTCGTCCTCGTCCTCGTCACTGTCGTTAGGAACCTTAAGCAACTACGATGACGACAACAAAGTCAAAAACAATTGGTTTTATGAGCAAAACAACAGCTCTGCAGGTGCGTCATGCTTTTTAGTACATTTCGTTGACGTTCACTGCACGACTACGACGTGAAACCTCCCAATGTAACGTTTTGTGGAGGACATGGACATACGAGGAGAGATTTTCCTTTATCTATTTGAACATGGATGAAGCCCTTAAGAATTCAACTCCAGGAAAAGTCGCCTACATTTGACGAATTGAGAGGTTCCAAATACATGCGATAAAGTTTGAAAGGACGCAAATTTATTTTTTTAGCGATGTTTTCCCTGCCCTCGTCGTCGTTGTTGCTTAATTAAGCTCGATCCCTATTGTCATTGTCATCGTCACCTTCATCATCATTATCATCATTCCTTCGCTACCTTTTTTAAAAAGCCGGTTAGAAATTATAGTCATTGGCTGAAATGTTATGCTCACAGACTAAAGACGGTGAAAGTTTTAGATCGGGTAAAGAAGAAAGTGTATATTTATACATTTGAAATTCAATGTTTCTTCTTTTAGTGATTTCAAATGTAAGTCCATTTGCGCCAACAGAATCGTTTGTACCGTTTGGGGGCATCCATCCTTTCCTCCCCTTTTTCGTCCGAGGGTTAGGGTTAGGGCTAGGGTTAGGGTTCTTCACATTGCGAATGCCTTTAAAAAAAAAAAGAAAAAGCAAAAACACGAGAAAGAAATAGTAGCAACTTTCAAAGTGTGAATGATCCACCATCCATATTATACTATTCTTAATATGCATATTTTTCCATTATTATTATTATTATTATTATTATTATTATTATTATTATTATTATTATTATAATTATTGTTGTTGTTGTTATTTTGTTATTATTATTACTATTATTATTATTTTTTCATATATTTTTCTTAATGGTGTCATGTTACTCGCTTTTGTACAAGATTTGAAAAAAAATTCTCTGTGATGCAAAATTATAAAGTTTTTTAAACGTCACACGAGGTTTATAAAAAGGGAGATTCAAATTGCACTCTGAATGATTTTTTGCTATGGTCGGCCATTTGTTTCAAAATTGTGACACGACATACGTGCGGTTTTTTCCCACGTATACTTGCAATCATTCCTGCTACACGATATACGTGCGTTTTTTTGTCACGTATACTTGCGTTTTATTCCCAAGTATATGACCATTTTCTTACAAACGCGCATATATATGCGCACAAAAAAACCCATATATATGCGTTACAACCAAGCATGTGGTTTATGCGGTAGCAGAAAGTCGTCATATAAGAAGCACCGAATTATACCGTCAGCAAAAAACCCCTTCATGTACGATGGAGCTGAAAAGTAACATAGTTTGAATCAAGCATGGCCGCAATGCCCGCGTTAATTTCGAGCAAGATTTGGTTCTTATTCATTGCCCTCACAGTAGTGGTGGTTGTTGGCTCCCCGACAACGGATTTGTTGTTTGTTGGATTGTCTCTTGAGAGACTGTGTACGCTATTTCACGAATGCTGACCGAAACAACGATCGATTCAGTTAGAAATTAGCGTCCAACAGGCAAAACACGACTCATAACATGTCATAAGCTCTTGATAATGTAAAACATGACCTTGAGAGTCTGCTTGAACAGATTGGTTTTTCTTCTTTTCTCTCTCGCGCGCGAATTATCACCTTTTCGGCTCCACGAACACGTTCAAAGCCTCCCAGTCTCGAAGTCTGTTATCATTTCCCTGGTATTCTCACTGACTTTAATAGCCTTCCACCTGCCTCTCTTTCCTTAGAACTCCTCCACTTTAATTGTGATTTTCATGGTTATCTAACTCGTTCTCGTTCAACTTGCATAAAATGTCCCTCAGGTATCAATTTGCTATTAGTTCTCAAGCCCCGATTATTTGGCCAAGGATATCCCACTGATATACCCTTCGCAGTGTCCGTAATTATTAACAGCCTTACCACCACTGACTTTAAATATAAACTAAACCTTTACTTTTTAAGCCTGAATTGAATTAGTACAGGATTATCATAGTTTATTGTTAGTTTATTTGTCACTAGTACTTCTAGTTTTACCTCTGCTATAGGACTGCTTGCATTACTTAATTTAAGCTTTGTATCTTGTTTTAGTTTTGAAATTTAGCCTTCAGTGGCTTCATTTCTACATAAAATAATTTCTGTCATTTTGACCACAAGTCGTATAAGCCCCCGGCTTTGGCTTTACTGAGTTTTGTACTATATGAACGATGGAATAATAAAGCTAAAGTTAAAGTTACTAGCACTACAGAGAATTACATGCATACTGAGTAATCATCTCCTGTGGTTTATGGTTCTTTAGGTGTTCCTGATAGGAGTTGACCTCAGATGCAGTTGTAAAGTGTTTTAATTTTCTTTGACCTCTGTTTAAGCCTAAAGCTTTAATTTAGTATTATGGCTAAATAAAGATTTTAGTTTCTATGGTTTTCTCCGTAAATCCTGGATCTGGATCTGCCCCCGCCCCTCCCGGCTGCTATGTCAGTATGACGCTGGGCCCAGCTCATAAGTGTTGTTTCAAGGATTTTGAGTTTTGACGGATATTTCACGGATAGATCTTCAGATTTGAGTTGTACACGGTAGCTTAAACTAAAGCTACCGGCCAAATATGGAGAATTACGCTTTGCGTGAGTCAAGATCATTCTCACCGCTGATAGCCTGATGCAGTCCGATTTACTTTTTTTGGAGATCAGAAGTGAGTCTTTAAACAAAAGCGCGATGTCTTGTTGTTCCTTCGCAGGAATTTTATGAATTCTGCAAGAATGTAGTTCCTCGTCGGTTGCGAAGCATCGCTTTAAATACTTATCGTGTATAAATAAAGATTATTGATTGATTGATTGATTGATTGATTGGTCGGATGCTAATTTCTAACTGAATCGATCGTTGTTTCGGTCAGCATTTGTGAAATAGCGTACACAGTCTCTCAAGAGACAATCCACGGATTCCAACAAACCCGTTGTCGGGGAGCCAACAACCACCACTACTGTGAGGGCAATGAATAAGAACCAAATCTTGCTCGAAATTAACGCGGGCATTGCGGCCATGCTTGATTCAAACTGAAGTTACTTTTCAGCTCCATCGTACATGAAGGGGTTTTTTGCTGACGGTATAATTCGGTGCCTCTTATACGACGGCTTTCTGTGACCCCATATACCACATGCTTGTTTGTACCGCATATATATGGGCTTTTTTGTGTGCATATATGCGCGTTTGTAAGAAAATGATCATATACTTGGGAATAAAACGCAAGTATACGTGACAAAAAAACGCACGTATATCGTGTAGCAGGAATGATTGCAAGTATACGTGGGAAAAAACCGCACGTATATCGTGTCATAATTTTGAAACAAATGGCCGACCATATTTTGCACGATATGAGTTGTGTCTTCGCGCATGCTACAAATAGACGGAGAACATAAAAGAAACGCTGAAATAATGTGCCTAATTCCTAAGTATCGTAGAGAGCAGTAGCCGAAAAGAGAATTATGATAAAATCGCTTCTTCTTCTGCTCATGCGCTGTACTCTTATGTGATCTCAGGGCGCCATTAAATAAATCCAATTATCTCTTTTTTTATGTGTGTGACCAGTGAAAGTAAAATTTATTTAGAGGACAAAAATTTCTTCTTCTTCCTTTTTTTTTTTTTTTTTTTTTTTTTTTTTTACAAAATTAGTTTATTGCAAACTTTCTTGTCACGATTGGATATGAAACAAGAGAGGATAAAGGGGACAGAGAAGGCATCCCCCATACACACCCTATTCCGTAGGTAATTCATCTCGAGTTATTTTTAGAATCGGGATAAAGTTACCTCGCGCGCTGCGTGGATGTTTCGTGGAGGCTTCGCATGACTAAACGCCATGCAAAACATGTCGGGCGAAAGGCAATGAAAGCGTAAAGAGATCGAGAGCATTTCTGAATATTGAAGCGAAACGAGTCGGCGCTCAGCTGGGAAAAGGGAATCGCTCGACTCTTTGACAATCCGTGAAATCAGTTTAACTCGAAGTTATCGTAACCTCGGTGCTTTAATAAAATGAGAAATTTCGCCGGTCTATTGAAACTGGTCGTTTGTACAATAAAGCAAATGCAAGTAGCAAGTAATATTCATGTACATGTATTTAGTTTTACAAATTTGAATTTTATTGTAGTTTTTTTAAGTTGTTAAGCGCTGTTGATCAGTGAATAGCCTGCGTGGCAGGCGTTTGAAAGGGAAGGGAAAGGGAGGTTTGGGAAAGGGAGTTTTAGGCGCGAGAGAAACGTGAGGGACGCGCGAGGAAGGAGGGAGGGAAACGCCTGACAGGAAACCATTGTTTTTCTCGTTATTAACATCTACCAGGCGAATGTTAAAATCCTGATTGGTCAAAATTTGATAAGATCTAA